GCCATGTGTATATCCACTAACATACATGATGGATGTCCATAGCCATGCTCAGTCAAGAGAGAAACTTCTCAGTGGAGAGAAACTCAGTAGGTGAAACACTGAGACTCCGCTTTTCTAACAAGCTCCCACTGGAGGCCGCGGCTTTCAGGAGCGCCCTTGGAGCGCCCAGGGGAAGCCCTGCCAGCCTGGGTGGGCTCTGTGCCCAGGACTTCAGCAAGGACCGAGGGCAGTGGGCTCCACGGGGTACTTACCCTGCATCTGACTCTGAGGCTGCGGGTTAAAGGCAGTGGAGTGGTTCAAGGAGGCCCGAGGGTTGGGCGTGGGGGCTGAGTGGTGCGGGCTGACCCTCATGGCCGTGCGCCGCAGCTGCTCCAGTTCACTGAGCCTCTCGGAAAAGGACAAACTCCCGGGCTTGGTCTCATCTAGTTTCTGCCGATGTCCTAGTGTAGGGACCGGGAGGGGAAGGGAGGAGGAGGGAAGGGAGGGAGGGAAGGAGGGAGGGAGGGAGGGAAGAGATCAGAAAACGCATTGTGGAGGGGGTCTTTTCTTATCGTCCCCCCTCCCTTCGCCCCCAAGGTGAGCTTGTTGGAACTGCCTCTTGGGCTGGGGGCCCAGGGCCATCCTTCATCACACTGGCCACTGGGCGTTCCCTTAGTCTGGGACTCGGCATGCACCCAGCTCTCTGTGCGCCTCCCAGGTGGGCAGAAAGAGAGATACTAGGGAGTGGAACTGATTAGAGTGGCCTGGGAAAGAAGCCCGTTGCTTGTTGGCTGTTGGCCACAGGCTGAGGGCTGAGCCATGGCAGCCAAGAAAGGTGGCCTCCCCTGGGGTCATGAATACCCTGATGTCTTGCAAACCCGACCAGAAGCAGGTCTGAAGCAGGTGGGCCGTGGAGCTCAGCAGAATGCCCTTTCAACAGGGAATTGGGTGCAGCTGCAAACCCACAGCCCGAAGGGAGATTTCCTGTTACAAGCACGTAGGCACAGGGCAGCCCTGTCCCAGGCCCTTCCTCCTTCATACAGGCTCCCTGAAGCATCCTTTCTTCTCTGAAGCTCACTCCCTGGACATATCCCTAAGAGGGAAGAGGTAGAAAGGTGCAGCCTAGGCCTGTTCCGATATTCCTAGTAGGCGAGGCCCTCGGGAGCCCAGAGGGCGTGGCCAGTTGGCCTGTCGAGCTTCCCAGGGACCAGAGAGTGAAAGTGGAGAGGGGAGCCCGGCTGTTTGGGCAGTAGGTGTCCCTATCACCATGGAAGAGCAAGCAGGGGCATTCACATGGTCCAGTCGGGAGGGCTGGGCCTCCAGGTTTCCCTTGCCCCATCTAAACTGTCATTAAACTAGAGATTATAGCAGAGTCCCGCCTCCCACACAGGAAAACAGCCACAGACAACTTGGGAGAGCCATTCCTCTTTAAAGAGGCCAGCTCACCCTGAAGGTTTATCTGACTGTGCCACAGCAGCTCTCCCCGCCAGTGGTCACACAACCTCAGTGCATGACAGAAGCCACTGACTTCTACCCATAGAAAAGGCTGCTTCTGGTACCCATCCCAACTGGAAGCTGGACAGAGGACCCTGGATAGCATCCCCCCAGCACAGGGTAGGAGCAAGGCTATGAATGGTACCCTCCCTGCCCCCCAGTTCCCAATTGCTACAATTATAAAATTAAGTTGTAGAAGTTGTGTTATGGTTTCAAATCCCCGTGGCTTGCCGTCTCTTCCTGCTGCGGGCCCCCTTGGCACCGCTGACACAGTCTCAAATTCCAGGCCAGAAAAAGGGCCTACTATATTGCAGTGATTTTTATCACTAACAAGCCCTGTTTGGCTCCAAACGGAGGAAAAATGCTCAAGCATAATATTTGTGTAGTTCACACGCAACGTTCCCTCCGTCCACGTATCACCCAGGCAAATCTGGACTGTCACTCAGAGCGGCAGCTCTCAACATTCGCCTCAGACACAAACACCCTGAGTCACGCAGGCTCAGACGGCGTACATGTGAGAGGCCTCTCAGAGGCCGAGTATTTTAAGCTTTGCGGACAAAAGATGCCAACTCCCCGACTGCCTCCTTCATCTTTTTACCAGCAGAAGTACAAAAACTTCTTTTTCTAGAACCTTCTACTTCAGTCAGCCATAGCACACGCCGTTTGGTGTGCAGCCTTCTCTGGCTCTTCCCTCCTCTTTGGCTGTGACGTAGTCCCACTCCTCACACACTGAAGCGCCTCAAGCTCTCTCGCAGGGAAACAATCCTGGCTCTAAAGCCATTAAAGCATGGCATGGCCCCTAGGAGTGCCTACTACGGTCTCATGCCAGTCAAGGTCAGAGGATGGGGGAAATATGACTCGGGAGAGCTGTACGGCCTAAGAAAGAATGTGGACCAACAGGGCTTCCAGCAGGGTTTGTCCGTGTCCCAGCTTCACATTCCGAAGGCACCCAGTGGCTTGTTTTGAAGAACCCTGTGAAGGTCAGTGTGTGTGTGTGTGTGTGTGTGTGTGTGTGTGTGTGTGTGTGTGTGTGTGTGTGTGTCTGTGTGTCTGTGTGTCTGTGTGGATTCTGAATTCAGAGCACTTGGTGTGTTGGTGTCCCTGGCCAGCCTTTGATGGGTGAGTATTGGAGGGCCTGCCTCTATAAACTTGGGGACCAGGCTGGACTGTCCCTTTAATCTCAGCACTCGGAAGGCAGAGGCAGATGGATCTCTGTGAGTTTGAGGCCAGCCTGGTCTACAAGAGCTAGTTCCAGGACAGGCTCCAAAGCTACAGAGAAACCCTGTCTCAAAAAACAAAAACAAAAATACCCCCCCCCCCAAAAAAAACAAAACCAAAACCAACCAACCCAACAAACAAAAAACTTGGGGACCTGGTCACTGAGAACACAAACAGAAATAAGCCATTTGGGGCAAGCCACTGTGTGGCCAACACATGTGACATTATTTATTTTTATTTCTCTCCCTCCATTACTCGATGGTTTAAAAAAAGTTCTAATGTGCGAGCTGTTTTGGTACGAGCTGACACCTGCCAAAATTGTAGTCATTTACAGAGATTAGCTGATGACTGTCTGCTTTGACAGGAATGCCGGGGCATAGCTCGTTGCTGCTGCCTAAGCCCCGAGAGTCTTGTGCTGGCTTTAATGCTTAGGGTTGGGGAATAGCTCATTCCACACTCTCTCCATGTGCACTCTGGGCGTCTGTAAGAAAGGGGCTGCCTGGGAGGAAACCTGACCCCCATATTCCCGGGGAGTTAGAGAGTTACAGCAGCAGGACACTTGGGAAGTGAAAGACACCGTCAAGTTCAAGGTGTGGTCCTGATGCATTTACAGCAGGGAGGCCAGGAACACCTATTCTCTCCTGAAACCATCAGGCGCCGTGTGCCAAGCAGCAATATTTTTGTGGAATACAGGAGCTTCCAACAGAAACCTTCAGGCTGGGGGAAAATGAACGCTTTATATCTCCAGTTTCTGGAATCCATGTGCCATTAAAATATCAATTTGCCCCTGAATTCTAAACACAGAAGCATGGGAAATGCCCACTATGAAATCTGTTCTCCATTCTTACTGATTACTGGGCCCTGGAGGGAAGCAGGGCATTCAATACTGGATCAAACCACTGTGGACTGTGCAGATCTAAACCCACACACGCTGGTAGCCGAGATTTTCAAGTTCACTGGGAGTCAGGTTCCGGAGTGCGGCTTCAAGCTGGGGTTACCTCAAGACTAAGTATGAGTGCATTTTACTGATGTTCACACACAGAGTTGAAAGAGACCCACAAATCTTCTATTTTTTTTTTTTTACATATTTTGGGAGAGAAATACTTCTCAAAATGTTATTATACATGCGAGTCATTGGAAAACAACAAAAATGGAAAAAGAAACACATAATAAAATAAACAAGCACTGTTTGGTGCATTCGTTTCATCTTAAACAGATCTCTGTGGTTCCCTGAGGTGGCTGCCTCAATCAAGGCACGCCTGATGTTATCAAATTTTATGACAGATAATGAAGTCAACTGGCACCTTTCTTCTGTTAAAACTGAGTGGAAAAAGCGCACATAACTCGACCAATCTCGGCTGCCTTTTCCAGGATGCCACTTTGCTCTGTGGCTGTAACTGGAGTACAACATCTGATCCTTTATCAAAGGCAGCGAGGTGAAATTGCCACCTTTTCCTGGAAATGTTTGATTAGCCAATCAATACGGTAGCCCATGGTTCTGATAGGAGCTTAGCGGTATTCTTGATGGATTATATGGTATAGAAAAGCCTTGTCATGACAATCAGATGGGAAAAGTCTATGCAAAATGACCACACTGAAGACTCTCTTTCTCTCTCTCTTTCTCTCTCTCTCTCTGTATGTGTGTGTGTATGTGTGTGCATATGTGTGTTTGTAAATTGTGGTTCTTTTAAAAGAAAAGGTGAATTTTGAACATTCACCTTTAAGATGACATCTGTATTTTAGAAAATGTCTTTCAGTCAGTGCAACACTAGCTACATGATCTGGGTATAAAAGGCTTATTCTGCCTTTGACTGGCAGTAGTATTAGGACTTTGGATAAGCAAGTACAGCAAACAGTTCCCCTTCTTTGTGTCAGAGCCAGTGGCTAAATTCCAGGGTCATTAGGGTTTTAAAGTAGTGGCACTGAGTGCAACGGTGACCCTTCCTTGAACTGAATGCAGGTACTAAACAGACCTTCTGTCCAGCAAACCAGCCAACTTCCAGCTAATTTAACTGTTGAGAAATACCATCTAATATTCCATACTCTTCAAACAGAGCACCGGGGTCCAGCTCAGTGAGAGACCACTTACTAGTGTTCACAAGACCCTGAGTTTCACCTCTAGCATTGCAAAAAGTGAAAAGAAGGAAGAAAATGCTCCAGTTTAGTAAACATTTAAATTAATTAAATTACATTGAAAACAATTCACATACTATACATAAAATATGTAGTATGCATGCTAATAAAGATACTACTGCATTTTATATATGCATGTCTTTATAGATTGTCTAATGGCATATGGACAGAGATAATTTCATTTTCCCCCTTTAATTTCCTCTCATGCCATAGTGCTAAGATAACAGGACACAGATGTCACACTGGAGAACCAGAGATGGGCCAGAGAAATCTGTTATATCTTTAAATGACAGGTGACAAGCTAAGTTCACAAAGGTTAATGCCATTTAGCCCATGTCACACATCAGATGGAGGAAAAACGTGGGTACATAAACACCCCCAGATCCCCAGTACTCCCAGATCACACCCAGAATGCCTAGAGTCCAAAATTTTGGTTTTGATGATCCCATCCCTGCCCAAGTGAAGCAAGAAAAGTGACTCACAATCCAACAGCTTCTAGCTCACTGGCCATGAGAGGGCTTAAGCTCCTACACTCTGTCTTTGTCCCCAGTTAGGAAGGCCAGGCCAGCACAGCGGCCTGCAACCAGCTGCCGGCTCTCCACTTCTGGAGCAGGTA